TGACGAGGCAGTTTGACTGCCTGCGCAGCGCTCTCAGGTCACAGGCTGATATTTGGTGCAGGTTTGTGCCCGCCTTTCTGGTGCCACGACCTTGGCGCATACGAGGAACGATCGGTTGCGGGAAGTGCGCACGCACATACAATGACTAGTGATGATTGGTCGATTACGGCAATGAAGTCTGTTGTCCGCACGTAATTGGTGGGAAAGATGACTGTGCCTTAATGCCGCCAATTGTACCCCTGTAGCGCCTGGTTTAGCTGGCAAAATCTTTACCGAAATTCTAAACTGTTTCCCCCTTTAGGAAGGATAGAAATGTAATACTGGTTATAGGGTAGTCTAATTCCAGTATATTTCAGTAAAGAAAGAATACCGACTTTGAACGGGATTTTCTTTTAGGCATCTACAAAACAAGGCTACTTAATCATTAGAAAATGTTCTCATTGATTTTTCACGTACTTTTAAGTATAGGTTTCTAGAAAACAGGAATAAAGATATTCTCTCTGGTAATCAGTTGGTGTTTAATTAAGTTTTCGCTTAATTTTAAGATTGAAGAAAAGGTTTATTTCGGGTCGACCCTTGGCATTCGGTTGATTAAGACAATACACATCAGGCAATCTGTATTCCACTTTAAAAAAAACTCTGGGAGAGAAGGAATATTTATTGAAGAAAATGAATTATAGTCAAACGCAGCATGAATTATATGCCCTCCATCATGACATTGAGTTCTTCTATGCTGAGCTCTCCATCGCCGTTAGCGTCAAATTTACGCACCAGTCTTTCGACGGCTTTCATATCCAGTTTGCTTCCCACTTCGCGCAGCATAGCAGCCAATTCCTTGGCGCTCACTTTGTTGGAGCCATCTTTGTCCAAATCTTTAAACATGGCGATGACGGTTTCGCTGAAGCTGGATTAAAAGAGATAACAAAAAATATAAGTCCTCCTAGGTAGCCATTTCAATTGTACTGACTAGAAGGAAAACCTTTTGGACTTTCTTGCGTAGCTTCCTCCTGCCATTCGTGTCTCCTTTACTGCAAAGGATTCAGCTGTCATTCCCACTCTTTCTTGGCTGTATAGCACCGCATTTTAAATATGGCTATCACTGATTTCCGTAAGTCTCCTAATAAATGCTCCTGCGTAAGACGCATTGGAGTACGAAAAACCTCCTACGTACAAGAACATCTGTTCTGAGGCAGAAATGTTGATGCAGTCGTCAAGGAACAACAATGTCAGACAGTTTCTTGGTGGCGATACTGTTTTCAGATGTATGCGCCTTTTCGAAAAGATCAAAATTGCGACTGGTCAAGTTCAGTTAAGGCATTTTTCGGGATACACATCTACGCGCTCGATAGGTTTAGTTTATTTTAAAGACCCTGGCACAATATTTGTGAATACTCAGGAGAATCATGCGTTCGTCCAATG